TCCCTGCTCAGCCGGTCTCATCCTGGTTCTCTGCTCCGCCCTGGCTCCCTGCTTCGCCAGTTCCGCCTGGGTGCCCAGCTCTGCCGACTCTGCCGACTCTGCCGACTCTGCCTCAGTCCCTGGTCTCTCCACTTCCACATGGACCTGGCCCTCCGTCCCTCCCCCTGTTTCGCCTCTGCTCCACCGCCCTCCTGGATTATATTGAAATAGGAGTGTCTGGAAGCCGCTCCTTGGGAGGGGGGCTATGTCACGAATCCTGTCCATGAACTTCCGTCCGCTTGCCACCAGAGGTTGCCCTCCCATTATATTGACTCTCACACCACACAGACTGTTACACATCGCTCTGGACTACATTTCCCATGTTCCATTGCTCTGATTGGACTCACCTGCAGTCAATCATACACACACTATTTAACACACATTTGTGTTTATCCCTCAGTCAGTGATAGCAACAATACGGAGCCAGTTCCCTGTCCTAGTTGTCTGAGTCTAGCCTTAGTCTTGTTTATAGTCTGTTTTCCCGTGTTTGAACTCTAGCCTGTTCTCTAGTTTCGCCTGTTCTCTGCCTGCCCTGAACGATATTGCCTGTCTTAGATTACCCCTCTTGTCTCACCCTGTTCGGATACTGTTTACCCCTCACCTTGACCATCGCCTGTGTTTCGGATTACCCCTTTGGATTACCCTGTTTGGACATTGTTCGCCGGAGATCGACCACGCCTGTTTACTGGACTACTCTTTTGTCTTGCCCTCAATATACATGCTCACCATTGTTTGACCCATGCCTGTTATGTGACCACGTTTTGGAAATAAAGGCCTTGCATATGGATCCGACCGTCTCACGTCCCGTTCGCCCCGTAACAAATACATTCACATTTTTCATAGAAAAAAATATTTGTTTCCCTCCACTTCATGTGAAGCAATATATTAATGTGTAGTAATTTGCAGTCTCAATGGAGTTTTGCTAAACAAAAGTGATTTAAAATAGCTAAATGGTCTTTGTCCGAATAGCATTAATACCAAAGCACTACACTATTTCTGATTAACCAATTTAAACCAAATTATTGGCCAACTTATATTCATTTGTAATTGGCTCAATTGCTGGGCCACTGACAGTATAATCACACCTCTAAGGACATATTAAGCAAGTACGAAAAGTGAGGTGCTAAAATAACATCCTGCTGATACCGCCTCAGGGAACATTGAGTCCCAATTTGATGTTCAAACCAAATTTGACTGTATAACAATGGTGATTACAAAATAATGGCCTTGATTCCTTGGAGAACAGTCCAGGTTTGCTAAATTGCCTCTCAGGCAAGTCAAAAATTGGCACAGACAGCGGTGTGTCTCTCAGTTACTTGATCAAGCGTTACAGGTGACTCAATGTTATTTATTTTTTGGAGCACTGGCTTAATTTCGCTTCCGAAAACTTTTATAGGTGTAGGTGGTCTAACAGAGAGTCTTGGATCATTTCCATACATTTACGCACAGCTTGCTCTAGAATTATGCTCTCTCTCGCTCACCTCAAGGCCAAGGCTGTGGTATTAAACTCCTTGGGGATTATTGTTATTTTCCACCCTTGATATGAACACAGGAGATGCACAGATGAGGCACATGGCCCACTGCATGCACACACAATGAGGATATTATGCTAATGGGTGGCATGTCCGATTCCCATGCTGCTCCTCTCATTTACACAAAATGCCATGCGAAAGAAGGCAAGCTGCAGAGTTGAGTGGGACAAAGGGACTCTGTTGTTTGCTGAGATTTGGTTAACCCAAAAGCAAACATAAATAGCATTACCTCACTAGTGAAAGAGAGTCTATAAGCTGAGATGTCTATTCTGCAGTCATCAATTTACTTGCAGCTATATGTTGCTTAACTCTGAACATCTGATCTTTCCTCTTGGAGCTGTAGGCACCATGATTGAGTGTTTACACAGCTTAAGTTAGATGGTGTTCTGTTGGATAGCATGTGCAGCAGAAACTTGGATTAACCCTGCTAGAAAGAAACATCTTAGTGCAATTTGTATCATCTTAAATTTCAAAATGTCTTAACTGGTTTACAATAAACAATGCTAGTTTGTTACTAGCACAAGTTACAACAGCTTAACCAGCCAAAACCAGCATCAAAGACCTTAAATCATACCATATTCTAGTCCATTAGATGCAGTTTAACAGGATATTTAGTACAGTCACCAGTTTAACGATAAAATACAATAAAAGTAGTAATATTGTGAAATGTATTCCAGTGATGGCAGCAGGCATTACTCCAGTCTTCAGTGTCACATGATCCTTCAGAAATCATTCTAATATGATGATTTATTGCTTAAGAAACATTTTTTATTACCAATGTTGAAAAAAACGTGTAGTGCTGCTTAATGTTTTTGTGGAAACCATGATACATTCTTTTCAGGGTGAACAGAAAGTTCAAAAGAACAGCATTTATTTGAAATTGATTTTATTTATTTTTTGCAATAATGAGCCCCTTTAATCGCCAATGCTAAAGATCCCTTTCGGTCCTGTGTACGCCAATGCATGTGTATGTGTATGTGTATGTGTATGTGTATGTGTATGTGCGCAGATGCATAGTATTTTTTAACTAAATGAAATAGCCAACTACTGACCTGGCATGCATAATACAATGCTTTTAGTCTTTTTCATGGATCCATGTGAATGGAGATCGTTTTGAAAACATTGTCGTCTGTACAGTTGTTGTCATGTAAACATACCCATAGAAGGCACTTGTTAGCTGGCCTAACAGATAAACACCAGTTTTGCCAAGTTGGGAGACTAGGTAAACCGTGTTAAACCAGCAAGCCATTTTAGACAGGTTTTTTTTGTGAGCAGTTTAGGTAGTCCAGTCTGCGTTTTCAACAGACAAAGGGTACGTACACATCTGGGAGAGCTCTGGCTAATGACTAGTTTTGCTTATCAGTGTGATTTCTACCAAGGGCATTAGTGGACAGGAAGACGCACTGGGTTCACGGTAAATGTCAAGCAAGCTACAGCTGCTGGGTCCCAGATGGGTGATCTTTAACTGCTGCCATCTCCATGACCTCACCTGGTAAGGTGCCCTCTGGGGAGTCAGGGCACCCAGTTTCTATTCCGGGCCGAGCAAAGACTGATATCCACTGTTCCAGGCCAGTGGCATCATCCAAAGGAAAAATGAGTGTAGACAGATATTTGAAATCACAAGTTTGTAGCCTTTGAACCACATAAATAAATGGAGGGAAGAGTAAAAAAAGTAGAGATAAAGAGAGAAAGAAACAGCCCTGAAATTCAGTTGCATTATCTAAACTAAGAGAACCAGAATGAAAACACAAAAATATATAGTGAATTTTTGCAGTCGCTCCTCTCAAAAAGACAGAGAACATTGGAGACAGAAACACAGCCATAATACTGAGTGCAAAGCATTATCAAAAGAGCTGGAAAACAAAACAAAGAGTGTGAGACTAAGACAGCTCCAGCTGAGTTGCCATTCATGAGTAGTTCAGCTAAACAAAGAATCTGAAACACTTGCATGATGGGATACTAGCAGTGGCGGAGGTTTCATTTGAACTTTGGGGGATGCTTGTGAGTTGGACCACAATACCAGTCAAATGTTTATAGTCTATATAAACATCACAGCTATTTTTCTTAGGGCAAACTGCATTAAGAATGTGCTATTATGTAAATAAATATTTTAATACAAAATGAAAACACTGTCATTATTTACTCTGACTAACCAGCAATGTATTCTAATTTAATTTCAACATTGATAAAAAATTAGTACAGTCCATGTCCCACAATGCACCTGTCTCTATGTTCCTCTGATGGTTCCTGACACAACATAAGGTGTAAATAAACCTTCGCAAACACTCTTCGATGACCTTCATCAATGCAAGTTCCCAGAACAGCTGGAACACATAAATGCAGAACTCTTTCAGCTTAACATGCGTATTAGAGCCAAATTATAAGCATATGCCAAGAATGGGCCTTCTAGGGGGGTTTAGAGACACTCTTCTCAATGGGGGTGAGCTCAATGTCATTAAGTCTTTATTCTTTCTTTAAATCCCTTGAGACACAAAGCCGAGCCAGATGAACAGGGAAGAACAATACTAGAGCATAACAAACAAATGAACTGACCACGTTTACATGTACATTTTCCAGTTTCAAGTCCATATACTGATTAAGCCTTTATCTTGAAAGATGTTTATATGATTCACATCTATTGGAATATTCATTAAAACATGTAATTAGCGTATTTAGAATAAAATAAGACATTTTGCACCTGCTACTGTCTCATGGAAATACTGGAGATGCTTGTTCTTGCAACTTATTATTATGTATTTTAATAATTTTGGACAGAAACTTATGGAATATGACCATATTTAGATGAAAATCTGAATATTCTTGTACATGTAAACAGTCTGTGTGAGATCCAGAACACATGGCACAGTCCTAGTGAGTGTATACGCTTCAGGCTTACTGCGTCTGACTGAAGAAAAACATGAGGGGGTCTTAGAAAATGACTCAGTACTGAGACGTACAGAAGATGACAAGTTTTTACAAAAAAGTAAAAAGACGACATCAAAGGCAGCAAAAAGACAGGGATCTGAGATTGTTTGCTCGTTTGCATCAGTAACATGCAAAGTTTTAGTCTTCAGTGCTGTTAGGAAATTTTTTTTTGTATATGCCTGTTTAACTTTGATGCAAGAGTGCAAGCTAACTTTCTTACCTCACTGGTGAAATACTGGACACTCATACAGAAGAACTGAATCAAATCTGTGCTTGTTAACATGCTATATTTTACAGCAGCACATCTACGTCTTTGATAAAACTGAAAGGTGCATCAAAATGATCTTGATCAAAAAGAGAAAAGCTGGTTCCTCTTCAGGAACTCGAGCTGCGTCGGAGGACGCTTCGGGAACGCCCTTCAGCATGACCAGCTCTGAACCTCTTGTGTAATCAGACCAATAGATGGGCGAGACGTCACGGGCGGGTGATGTAATGACCAGGAAGCTATAAAAGCACGTGCGGTGAGACCAGCGTCAGCTTTTTGTCATTCAGCAAGCGCTCTGTGTGTGTGTCAGTCTGATATCTGTTTGTGAGTCTTATTTAGTGTTGTCTGTCACGAAATCTCAAGACAAAACCAGACACCTAAGGCGAGGGCAGGCAGCCTTCAGGCTGTGTGTCCCTCCCTGCCCGCGTTACTTTACGGGTGGGGATACACACAGTTTGTTTGTTTGTTGTCTGCTTGAGAGCAAGCACGCAGAGTCAGCTCTCGGAAAAAATGGATCCGGTGGAGGTAATGTAGACGGCGCCCAGCGCCCGCTCTCAGGGTTTCGGAAGCCCACGCTGCGGTACTTCCCCCCCCCGAGGAGAGGGCGCGACGCTCTGCCTGTCTTTCTCCGAGGAGATTGATATGGAGGGTGTCAGAGAGCTCGCCAGTTGAACAAACACCAGTTACACAAGCATATTATGCCTGACATTATAATGAACAGCATCAATGGGGAGCAGAGCTTGCGCAGTCGGCTCTCGAGAAAAAATAAGCCTGCTGTTATGCGCTCTGCTCTCGCCGGGCACGCTCCGAGGAGTGTGTCTGTGCCTGTGATCTTGCGATTGCAGTCCCGCTGCTGCTGAGGCACGGCGGCGACTGAGTTCGTGGGAATCGCATATGATCTGGTGGACGGGTTGGAGACGGCTCGTCCTATCTCCACCCGTGGTCCCTAGATCTAGAGCTCGTTCTCGAGGCAGGAAGCCCGCACTGCGGTTCTTCCCCTTCTGAGTTAGAGCTTGCTGATGCGGCCATCTTTTTCTGAGGAGATTGATGTTGTTGGTGTGACTGAGTGGCTTGCGCGCTGCCGAGGCACCGCTTATATTACTGGATGCCTACCTAAAACGGCTCGTTCTAACACGCCCCCACATACCTACGCCACTATCTGGGAAGATTTGCATAACGCCGCCCAAATGTTCGCGCTAAGAAAGAAGGCGTAACTTTTATTCTCGCTGTAGTATTGTTGCTGCCGCCGCCATGTAGTGAAGGCGCTGTGTGTTTCATTGTGAAAGCGAAACTACTTTGTTTGG